ATAAGTAATATTTTAACTAATATTTCGGTATTAATTCAAAAAATATTAATATCTCTATATAACAAAACAAATAGATCTAGCAAATAGTAAGTTTTATATATAAAATAATAATTTTAAATTATAAATATTAATTGTTTTATTTTTTTTAAAATATAAATATAGTTTAAAAGATTTTATCAATTATTTACTTTTTAAATTAATAAATCAAGATTCTCAAAAAAAAAATAATAACAAAATAGAACAAAAAGATAATAATAATGAAAATGATAAAAAAGAAATTAATTTAATTAAAGACGAAACCATTAAAAACATATTAATTGATATTGGAATTGATAATTTAGGTTATTATAAAGAAATTAAATCAGTCCTTTTAGAATCAAATAACAATTTAAATATTTTAAATAGTTATATAATTTTTAATCAAAAAAAACAAATCGAAAATATTCATAATAATAATAATAATAATAATAATAATAATAATAATAATAATATATTAAATAATTTATTAATTCATAATTTACAATCAACTTTTATTAAAAATAATCAACAAGAAAAAGAATTTGAAAATTTAATTAATAATATATTTGAAATAATTTTAGAAATAATTCATCAACAAGATATAAACTTTAGTAATAATGATCAATTGGTATACGAATTAAAATCAAAATTATATTCAAAAATATTATTTAAAATTAATAATAGACATTATTATTTATTTCAACTTCTATTAAATATTTTATTTAAATGTTATATTTTAACTTTTAACAATAACTTTAATTTTAAACTAAATTTAATGTTTAAACTTTCAATTTTTATTTTAAACCAAAGTTATTTAAATAATATAAATAATAATAATTTTTCACATTTTGTAAGCTTGAATTATTTTTTTTTTTTTTTAAAAAAATCTATTAATATTAATTTTTTTTTTTCAACTATAGAATTACTCAAATATTTATTTAAAACCATTATATCTTTTATATTTAAATAATAATAATAGTTTCAAAAATAATATATCAATTTTTAAACAACTAAATTATAATAGAGATTTAATTTTATTAAAAATTAAAAAACTGTCAGCATCAAACTCTATAGGGGCACCATCTAAATCACCTTCAATTTATAATAAAGTTTTACTTGACCTTTGGTTCTTAAATATTCAGTTTTTAAACTATTATAACTATGTGGTACAGCTATATAAAGAATTTTTTAATCATAAAAACGACGAAAATCAAGATTTTGATCATATCATCGAATATATAGTATGGTTCAATTATATTAATTTAGAAATTCAACAAAACCATATAAATATATATACTAATCATAATAATCAATTATTTATTCTATTAAAAGATTTAATTTACAATAGTAGTTCAATAGATTTAAATGATTTTAAATTCGAATTTAATAAACTAAATCAAATAAATTTATTTAATGAATTAAATAGTAAATAAAACAAATAAAATAAATTTGATCAAAAAAGATAATTTGGAAATAAATAAAAAACTAAAATAGTTTATTTTTTTTTTTTTTTTTTTTTTTTTTTTTAAATTTTTTTCCCTAAAACAATTTGATTTGACATGCACCACAGTAAGGTTTAGAGGCTTTAAATTTAGCGACAAGAGGATCGGGTAAAGTTTTACTACAATATGAACATTTAAAATGTTCAACATGCCATTTTTTATTTTCAAATTCTTGATATGGTTTGTTTGATCCTATTGGTTGTTCACAACTTTGACAAATAGTATCACTAACATAATTTAAATAATGTTCTCTACATAAAAGTTTACCTTTATATGCAAATGTAATCTATTAAAAAATAAAAAAATTTTGTTAAAATTTTTAAGGAAATATTTATAGTTTTTAGTATTTTAACTTACCATTAATGTTTTATTACATTCTATACAATTACTATCTTTAAATGTTTTGTCGTGATCTTCTTTACAATAAATATTTTCTTCTCTTTCAATAAAAGGTATTTCTTCAAATCCTAAAAGTGCTTTTGAACAAACACAGCAATTAAAGTGATCTTTATGCCATGCTTTGCCACATGAAATTTCAATTGGTTCGCTTGCAATTGGCTCTTTACAGACTTCGCAATTTTTATAAATTTTTGAAAGAGATGAAAAAATTTTGTCAAATTCACCCAACACATCTTGAGTCTCGACTCTTTTTAAATTTCTAAATGGTGAAACTAATCTTGGTGAAGATTTGGTAGGAGTAGCTTGGGGTGTTGCGTTAAAATCATCATTGTGGTGAACTGGAGCTGGTGATAGAATTGAATCTAAATTTAAACTAACATCTAATGAGCTAATGATATTGATATCTTCTTCATCACTCTTTGATTTGAATGGTGTTTTAATTGGTGTTGGTTCTTGTTGTTTAATTGGTGAAACTGGTTCTTGTTGTTTAATTGGTGTAGTTGCTATTGTTGGCTCTTGTTTAGCAGGTGTTGTAGGCTCTTGTTGCTTTGTTGGCATAGTGGGCTCTTGTTGTTTAACTGGAGTTTTATTTTCGGTTGGTAATGATTTTTCTGTTGATTTTTCTGTTGATTTTTCTATTGATTTTTCAGTTTGTTTTTCCTCTTTTAATTTTTCTTCTTTAAATTTCTTACTTGTATCGCTACTTCTACCAATGGTAAAGAATTTTTTAATATCTCTTTTAGAAACTTCAAAACTTGAACTCTTTCTACTAGCAATAGTATTATTAACTGATAAATTATTATTTAAATTTATTGTATTATTTGAATCTGTTGGATTGTCATTTGATGAAATATCTGAAACCATTGATCTTGGTGTTGTTGGTGCTGAAGTATTTATTGATGAACTAGAAACTGATTTTGGTATTGATCCAATTGGAACATGATTATTACTGTTATTACTATAATTATTGTTATTTGTACCTATATCATCATTATTATTTTTTATACTTATATTATTAATTTTAATGGCAGGTTGAGGATCGAAATGATTCATAATTGATATTGCAAAATTTAAAACCATTGGATCAGAGTTGATAAAATCTTCAGGTATGATCTCTTGTTCGAACTTGACACCTTTAAATACTAAGGCTTTTATAATATTATCAAAATTGGTGATGGTCCATTCATTATCTACCTGTCTTTGAGATTGATTTGATCTTTCGGTTAATTGAACCTTGAAACCTACCTTATCCAATATATTTGCAACAAATGAGGCATTACAAACTAAATCAGTTGGATCATTTTGAATATCTAAAGATGTTATTTTCTTTATCCAGTGTTTTAATTGAGCTACTTCTGATGGTGAGGCCAATGTTTTGGTAAGCATTCTATTATTTTCTTTAATATTTTGGACCCATTTCTTTCTTTCTTCATCACTTTCAGCTTGAAGAGTAATAGTCTCATAACCAGGATGTGAAAGGTTAAAGCAAAAACCAATTGGTATATTTGTGTCGATTTCTACGCTCCAATTTGGAATTGAGATTCTGCCTTTAATTTCATTGGATTCCGGACTATCATAATAGTATAAAACCATATCCTTTAAAACAAACCATCTTTTCTTCCATTGTAACGTACGTCTAAATGTACCAGCAGTAGTATATTTTTTAAGCCAACCTTTAAAATTAGAGATACCTGCAATTTGAAGAGCACCAGGTTTAAAAGCTATTGATTTTGAACGACCTCTAACTTGAACTTTTTCTGGTTCCTTTTGGATGGAACAATGCATTTGTAAAACCCTAACCCATTCTTTCATTCCATCTTCAGTTTCATCAGATAACCAATAAAAAATATTTTCATCATTTTCGTGTGATAATTTAAAACAAAATGGTTTTCCATTTGGTCCATCTTGAATTGCTGTTGCTATTATACCACATCTAATTAAAGGTATAAAATGTAATACCTGATAACTTGATGATTGAATATCTGATCTCTAAAGAAATTATAATAATAATTAAAATTAGTATAATATTATTATTTCAAACTGAAACATTATTTTTTTTTTATTATTTTGTATCGTTCGTTAAAATTATTATTAATAAACTTACTTGTTTATTTTCAAAAATAAATAAAATTCTATTTTTAAATACACAATATCTTTTTTTGAAAACTTTACCGTCACTTGATAAAATTGAAAGATGACCTTCTTTAAATTTTAAATTATCTTCTAAAGATATCATTTTTTTTTAAAAAAAGAAAAAAATTTTATATTTTTAAAATTTCGTTAAAGGTGTAAATATTTTTTTAATGAAATATAAAATTATTTATTATTAAAATTTTTTATAAAAAAAAAAAAATAAAAAAAAAAATATAAAAGATTTTTGTGTATAATTAATATAATATGTATATAAAAATAAAAAAAAAAAAAATTTTCGTTATTTTTAACACTGTGATAAAATTATAATGATGAAAAAAATTTATAAAAAATTTTATAAAAAATTTAAAAAAAAAAAAAAAAAAATAAAATTTAAAAATAAAATTATTTGAAAGTTTTT